TTTATTTATTTATGGATTTGTTATTTTAATTCTGTGGAGTCTTTTGTTTTCTCTAACTGCCTCCTATGTCGTCCCCAGCCCTGGGTATCAAATCCAGAGTCTTTGTGCATATTATTCAAGCACTCTACCACTGAACTACACCCCCCCAGCACAGTTGCCATAACTTTTAAAGTTGTTAGAACAAACTATATGCTGTGTTTTGTTTTAATGATGCTGAGGACTGACCCTAGCTTTGCACGTGCTAGGTAAATGCTTTATCACTGAGTTACATCCTTAACCTGTGGCTTTTGGAAATAGAATCTACCACATAGCTCAGGCTGGCTTCAAACTCAGAAAAATCTTGCTCTACTTCCCAAGAACTGGGATTACAGTTGTATACCATTATGCCTGGCTTTAAAATATATTTACGCATATTTCCCCAAGCAAAAGATTTTTAAAAGATTTGTTTATGTATTTATTCTTGAGACGGGCTCACTTTGTAGCCCTGGCTGGCCAGGAACTCACTATAGACCAGACTGCCCACGAGCACACAGAAATCCACCTACCTCTGCCTCACAGGTGCTAGGATAAAAGGCATGCACCACTGTGTCTGGCTATTTTTTAAATTATGTGTGTGTCTCTGTGTGGGTATATACACATAAGTGCAGGTGCTCATGGGTTTAAAAGAGGATCTGTGGATCTGCTGGAGTTATAGGCAGTGTGAACTGCCTGGTGTTGGTGCTGGGAACTGAATTCAGGGGCTATGGAGGACTAGTACATACACTTAACTGCTGAGCTATCTCTCTAGCCCCTAAGCAGAGGATTTTTATTCTGGATGAGATGAAAAAATAAATTGATCAAATGTGCAAGTGGTCTGGTCTTAGCAGAACCAATGATAGACACCAGTAGTATCTTTTTATTTTTGTGTGTGTTTTGGAGACAGGGGCTTATGTAATTTTAGGCTGGCCTCCAGCTTGCTCTGTAGCAGAGGTTGGCCTTGAACTCCTGTTTGTCCTGGCTCCACCCCCCAGATGCTGGGATTACAGGTGTTCAGTAACACGTCCAACAGAAGTAGCTTGCTTTTTTTTTTTAATATTTTATTTTTTAAATATTTTATTATTTTTATTTCATGTGTATTAGTGTTATGCCTGCATGTAGGTAGGTGCACCCATGTCGTGCAGTGCCCGAGGAGGACAGAAGAGGTTGTTATAGCCCCTGGAACCAGAGTTACCGATAGTTGTTAGCTGCCATGTGGGTGCTGGGATTCAACCCTGGGTCTTCTTGCAAGAACAGTGTTCTTAACCGCTGAGCCATATCTCCAGCCCCATATTATTTTAATTTTATGTGTATGAGTGTACTGAAGCAATGCCCACAGAAGTCAGAAGAGGGGGGGGTCAGACATTATAGATAGTTGTTTGCTGCCATGTAGGTGCTGGGAACTTAACCTGAGTCCTCTGCAAGAGCAGTCCATGTTCTTAACTACTGAGCCATCTCCAGTTCCAGTAGCTTGCTTTTTTATCCCACATTTTATGTTTTTTTCCTTAATGACATTCTTTTGCGTATGTTTGTGTGGCTGCATGTGTGGGGGCAGGTGCATATGCACATTGTATGTGTGTGTAGGCCAAAGGACAACCTAGGATAATTATTAGGATAATCATTCTTGAGGCACTGTCCACTTTATTTTGTGTGTATGTTCATGTGATGTGCATGTGCTTATGTTTGGAGGCCAGAGGACAGCCACCTACCTCTGGCTCCTTAGTGCTGGGCTTAAAGGCATAAGCCACCATACTGGACTCTATCTACCTTTTGGGGGGCAGAATCTCTCACTGGGACACAGACTCACCAATTAGCCTAAACTGGCCAGCAAGCCCCAGGGATCCAGTGCAGGCTACCATAGCTGGCTTTTTTACATGGGTTCTGTGAAGAAACTCAAGTTCTAAAGATTTTATGACAAGCACTTTCCCAATTGAGCTATCTCCCCATCCCCCCCGCCACATATTTTTGTGAGGCAGGGTCTCCTGTAGCCCAGGCTGACTACTAGCCCTGAAACTCACTATGTAGCTGACAATGACTTTGAACTCCCAGTCCTCCTGTTTGTACCTTGGAAATGTTAGGAATACGAGCATGTACCACCATGGGTTCCATCCGTTATTGACTACCCCAAGAAAAGTTCTGCCCACCTATCTATGCCAGTCTGGCCCATGCCATACCCCAGTATAAGAAAACAAACTGAAATGTCTAATTTATAAGCCAGGTCTTTTGAGCAGCTGTTAAAATGTCTGGCAGAGGACTTGGATGAAAGGCTGGGGTAGTGTGGGGGGGGGGTGGCAGTGGAGGATCATTTGTCATCACAACCCTGTTACTACAGGAAACTCAACATCATCTCTGTTGAAAGAGCAGTAGTCTGTTTCAATTTAGAAAATGTTGATAGAAAACAGATGTTTACATTAACGTTATCATTCTAAGACGAAATTAGTAAAATGTGCCTTTGAAACATTCAGACAGAAATTTATATAACTCAAGGTAAATCAGAGTAACTTGTTGGAGTTACTTAAAACTAAGTATTCATTTTTAAAACTATACTGAATTTGCCTCTTAAAAGTAGAATGTACAAGCCAGGTACGGTGGCACATTTCTTTAATCCCAGCAATCAGGAGGCATAGGCAGGTGGATCTCTGTAAGTTCAAAGCCAGCCTGGTCTACATAGTGAGTTCCAGGCTAGCTGGGGCTACAGGAAGAATTTTTTTAAAAGGGCATGTGGGAACATTAAGAAAAGTGGACACCTGGAGCAGTGAGGCACAGCTGTTGTTGCGTTTTAATGTTTTTGTTTTGTTTTGTTTTGTTTTTGGTCTTTTTGAGACAGGATCTCCCTGGAACTCACTATGTAGACCAGGCTGACTTCGAAAAAAAAAAAAAAAGAACGTATACTTTTTTCTTGGTGATAAATACATTCATGTTCTTTCCAGGATATAGTGTGGAAATTCTATGTTTATATTAGTAGCAGAAATAGGTTCTTTCTAGTTCAGTCCTTAGAAAGGGGACCTAAAATCTGAGGTTATCACCATTGTATCCTGTAGTGCAGTCAAAATGAGGCATGACTCTGCATGGTAAAGCCAGAGGGCACTGTTGCTGCTGACTTTCCATCAAACAGCCGGTTTTCCAGGGCTGCTGCATGACGTCATAGAAGAAAAATGAAAAACACGAAAACTATTTCAAAATAGACATTTAATGTAATTTTTAGGTCAAAGAAAAATTGATTATACAGTGTCTCCAGCGGACCACCTGCCAGAATAGGACCAGCACACCTGGTTTTAAAGGCCCTGAATCATCCTACTGGCAGGTCCCCAAACTTGCTGATTTGTATATGCTTCTTATGCATCATAAGGTGTATTTCACCCTTGAAGTTCCCATCACCTCCACTGCAGCCATTTAGCTGACAGAGCAGGCTCCCCAATGAGAAGGGTTTCTTTCCCTTTCTCTGCAGGGGTTCTTAGCTGTCAGGATTTTGAATCTCTTGAACCCTCTGCTCACCAAAAAAAAAAAAAACCTCACATATAACACAAGACTACACACAAATATGGGGTTTGTGGACCCCCAAGGCCCCCTATGGTTTTTAAGGCTCCAAGTTAAAGGAACCCCTGTGCTAATAACTTGAGCAATGCTATTGCCCTCAGAAAATACTGACAGGTCAGGTGAAGGAAGGTTGGATTAATTATAACGACAGAAAAGAACAGTCATTTAAGAAACTTTTGATTTTGTGGCAGGAATTAGTTCTGTGAGCCTCCCTGCATTTTCCAGAGCAGAACTACTTAACCTAAGCAACTGTCAGCACAGCCTAGGAGACAGACTAGCTGCTGTGCAGGGAACGTGTATGGCTCCTCATTCATCACCCAAGGACCTCAGCCCTCTCCAGAACCAGCTTTCCATTTGACTTATAATAAGGGACATTTTGAGTTTTCGCTTGATTCTCATGTAAAGGTAGTTTTTTAAAAATAGAGAAAGAGAAAAGCACTTAAGTATTAACGATTATCTTTGGATCCCCCAGACATTTCAAGTTCAGTATTTTGTCTGTAACATCTTAAGGAGTTGCTCCTTAAGTTGATCTTAGCTGTTCATTACTTGTACTAAGTTCCCCCAGGCATCCAGGCATTCCTAGTGTTACTCAAGGGATGGCAGGATTACTGAAAACCAGCTTGTAGGAATGAAATGAGGCTCTCAGTTATCTAGTCTAATAAACTGACAAATTAGGTTTACACTTCTGTCAGCACACTTCTGAATGGCCATCAAGGGGCAGACTTAAGCTGCTGCTTGTAGCCACCTTGCACAACCCGACACCCAGCAACTGGTTAGTTTCTCCAGCATTAAAAAGGAAAAGGCATTAGGAAACAAGCACACTTCAGTACTGAAGATCATTAAAATTTTTTATGTAGCATACTAAAACTCATTGGGGGGGTTACAAACTAAGTTACCCCATTCAAGTTTTTTGTTTTTTTTTTTTGCAAACTGAAAAATTTAACGATTTTGTTACCTTCCTCAAAAATGCAATCACATAAATCGGTACTATTTTGAATTAGCTCTAGAAATCACACTGAAACTGTTACATTTACAAATATTAAATTTATTATAACTAGAATGAATTTAATGGGTCTCAGATTTGGCCACCTTAAAGCTCCGTTTAAGGAGGGGGTCTCTTTTTTAAACAGAAAAATGCATTATAACTTGGTCAAATTATTTACACATTAAGAAACTTCTAAAGAGGAAAACAAGAAAAGCAACCCTTGAGTTTCACATAATTAAAGAACAGAATGCACGCAAGCTACATCATAGCTAAATTTACCAAACCAAAGCCGGGGGGATTTTCTCTTCTGTGTCATAAAAAGGTCCGCTGTCTTATATACACATGTATATAATGTTACATTCCAGCACTGTAAAAAGTCCCCTTAGCCCCCTCCCCCCCCAAAAAGTTTTCAGTCTAGTCTCCAAACTTGGAAAGCGGCGCCCGCTCCTGCTGCCGGTGCAGTTTGTTCTCCGTCAGCAGCTGGAGGTTCTCGGCGCGCAGCCGCTCCAGCTCCAGCTCCAGCTCCCGCACTCGCGCGTCGTCGCCGTCCAGCCGCTTGCTTTCTAGCCGTAGCCGGTTATTCTCGTCCTCCATGCGCGACAGGCACTTCTCCAGCTCCAGGTACTCCTTGATGAGCTCCTGCTTGCTCATGTTCTGCAGGCTCTCGGCGTGGTACCGCTCATACGTCTCGGAGAAGTCCCGCTGCAGAAACTCGCTGCCGTCCCCTCCCATCCCATCGCTGCCCCCGTCCTCCTCACCCGCTTCTTCCATGAAGTCCTCGTCGCTGGTGTCATCGGATTTGGCGGCGGCCCTCTTGGGGTAGAGGCCGGTTTTGAGATCCGGCTCCTCCTGGTCATGGTCATCCATGAGGAACTGTGTGGTGTTATAGGGCGCGACCGGCTGGCCCTTGGCGAACATCTCAGCTCGAACCCTCGAAGCTCGCAAGCTCTGCTTCTCGTCGAACTTTTTCTTCTCCTCCCAGGTCAGCTTGTAATAAGGCTTCCAATGCCTCTTCTTCTTGGAGGGGCGTCTCCTGTGCTTTTTCTTGCCCAGCTGTCTCTGCTGCTGGCCCCACGCCTCCTCGCCCCCAGCGGCGGGAGCTCCCAACTTGTTGGCCTCAGAGTCGGGACACGGCTGGATGAGGGGCTCCGACATCAGTTCCCCTCCCATCGACGGGGAGGCAGCGCCAGGGGATGAGTCCTCCCGGTTCTGGCCCTTCTCGTCCGCTTCCAGGCAGCTGGGCTCCGGGCGGCCGTGGGTTTGCAGGGAGGGCGGCTGGGGCTTCGGGCCCCCTTCGGGCCCCGGCCGGCCCCCCGACAGGGGGCACGCTCTCGATCGCCACCTACTGTCCTCCTCCGGCACTCGTTCCTCCGCGCCGGGGGGGCGCTCGGAGTTTTGCTCCTCACGGACCACGGCAGCACCTGTACAGTTGCTACTTTGAGGCTGGTGTTGATACTCTGACAAGAGTGGCTCGGCCATGGCTTAATGGAGTCCTCTTCGAGAAGTTTGAGAAATTTGGGCTGTTAGTCCTTAAGGAGGAAAGGTTTTCCTTTCCTTTTTAAAAATGTCCAAGAGTCCTCTTCGGTCCGCGATTCTGCAGTGACGCCGTTCGCCAGTCCTGTCAGCAAACTCCAGTCGGAACTTGGAGTCAAGTCAGTAAAGGGTTAAGCACCCACAAGCGTGGCCAACTAGCAGGTCCAAGGGGGTGCAGCGGCAGGAGCAGTACGTAATGTGCAGAGGGTGGGCTTCAACTTCCCCGACGAGCGCTCCCAGAATCGATGAGGTGGTGGGAAGATGAGGTTTAAGTCCAATGGGTTAAACCCAATCCCGAAGGGGTTAAAACTACCCGATGACGCTGTCTCCGCGGGGCTGAATCCACAAAGGGTTAAATCCCCTGCCGCAGAGTCCACAAGGGGTTAAAGTCCCAGAGCCACCTCCTCCCACTTCCACGGGTGTCGCTCCAACCCGAGCTCCCAGTTCCCTAGGCCCGGCCGGAGCCTTCGCCGAGGACAGACAAACTCATCTCCCCTCTGGCTCGATGCTCGGCTCAGCTCTGCTCGGCTCTCCTCCGCCTCCTCCTCTTTTCCTCCCTCCCTCCTCCCCCTTCAGACAGCTCTTCCGCCTCCTCCCCCAGCTTCCCCTCCCAACCTGTCTTTCCACCTGCCAACTTCCAACTGCTGTCGCCTAGCCCTCTGCGCCTCTTTTATATAGAAGGGCGTTCGCCCCGCCTATGCGCATGCGTAACGGAGTCCTTCCGTAGGGCTGCCGGGAGTCGTAGTTCCCTCCTCTCTCGCCCGCGTCCCCGCGCGCCGTGCGACGTAACCAATCCCGGGACGCGTAGGGGGCGGTTTCCAGGCCGCCTCCTTCTATCGCTCGGCTTTCGCCGGAGAAACGTGAGCGCTCATTGGGCTGGAAGCGTCCGTCTCTCCGCGGAGGAAAGACCAATCACAGAGAGGATGGGGCAGGTTCTGGACCGTACCATTGTGCTTCAGGAATACGCGAAGATTCCATGACCTCTGGAAGCCTACACCGAGTATTTTTATGAAAAGGTGCGTGTGAAAGACAGCTGTCGCACTCTGTACTCAGCGGAAAAGCTTTGGTGGTCACACACATCTTTCCACTAATCCGAAAATGGTTTGCTCCTAAAAAGTAGTCCCTGAAGTGTGAAAGAGGCTTAAATCCTGTAAAGAGAGAGACTGGCCGGCGTTCCTAATGCTTGGTTCTTAGTCATGGCTGCAAGGCAGGTGGCCGGTCTCTGGGAGAGGCGTTTGCGGAATGAGATTGTGGGCATGTTTTTTTTTTTTAAAAAAAAAAGAAAAAACAAAAACCGAAAAGCGCATGAAGAAGTAAACAAATGGAAGACTTAAAAAGTGCCTCCTTAAAGGGACAGTGTGATGGCGTGCCCTGCCATCAGCCCCAGACTAGGCCTCGGGGCACGAGAGGGCGGGTTCGAGTCTTGAGTGACGTGGGTCCTCACCACCTTCGGGACCCTGGGGTGAAAACAGCCGCTGGGCCGAGAGCCATCTCCGCCCTCGAAGCCAGGGCAAAATGGAGATCCGCGGTCGGGAGCGCGCCGCGGGGTGAAGGGCTCGCCCCCGTGGAAGAAAATGGCCTCCCGGGGCCGACTTCGAGACCGCGAACATTTCCCTAATCGGGCCAGGAGAGTTCGGACCGCTGATGAGCGTTTCCATTGAGGAGGGGTTCAAAAATCTATGCGTTTCCGAAAGAGAAGGGGGTGTCATTAACAGGCGAGGCTGGGGGTAAGAGGCTCCCCGGAGGAGAGGGCAGGAGGCTTCCCTGAAACGGGTGTGCTGGCCCAGGCTGCGGGCTAGACTCGGGGTGGGATGGGGGGTGGGTCGTATTCTCCCTCAGGAGTTCAGACTCCGGTCCCCCACCCGCAGGACCCAGAGAACCCTCTCCTCAAACCCCTTGGTTTAATCGCTGCTCTCTTTGCTGCATACCTAGTGACTCTGATTTCTCCTGTAATAACAGTCCCTTAGTCCATCCATTATTCAGTGTGACATTCTACACAGGGAACTATTTGACCACCATAGCCCAATGAAGTAGGCAGGAAATAAAGTGACTTGTCCAAGGTCACATGACAACTAAATGGCAGTTCTAGCTAGAGCTCAGAGGTCTTTGTGACCCTCAATACCTTTTTTCTGTCAAAAACACAGTCTATTTTCCCTCAGGAGCTCTAAATTGAGTTCCCTTTTATTTCTTATAGCTTCAAGCTTCAAATAGTTGCAAATCTTTATTCATTTGGCAGTTGTTAGGAAAAAAAGATAAATGAACTAAATGTCTTCTTCAAGTTGCTCAGATTACATGAAGAAAACTACCCCAATCATAGGCTGAGAGTGGAGAGCAGGAAGAAAACTAACCACAGTGAGCCAAAATAGCAAAAAAATAAATAAAATCATACTAACTTGTGAGTCAAGTTACTTGGGAATTGGGACAGTTGTGGAGGAATTGATTTTAAAGTGCCATGAAAGACATTTTTGTTTTTGAAGCAAGTATATGGCCTGGTCTTGGAACTCCCAAGCCTCCTGCCTCAGGCCCCACATCAGCTGAGACTACAGGTTAAGGGCATTTTGTAGAGGAAAAGGTTTGGGAACTTCAAAGTGGTGAGCAGGGTGGCAGTGATGAGCATGTACAATGCAGACTGTCTCTAAGGGAAAGCAAGCAGGAATGTCCCTAGGGGACATCCAGATGTTTTGAAAATGACCATCCCAGCTTGTTTTCCAGAAACTCTGGTCTATGTGAGTTCTGTTCTGTTTCCCCATGCATCACTTAGGAAGCACCAGGAGGACAAGAACAAAGGAAGACAATCTTTGCAGAGAACTGGGAGAACCAAAAAAGCTCCCAACTTAAGGCTTTAGAGCACTTGAGCACCTAGACTCCATTTACTAGATGGGCTCAGCTGCAGGGTCTCACTTATATTGGGAGAGACACAAACACAATGATGGTAAGTTAGAGAATTCTAGAATCCTATCAAGGGCCAGGCAGCTATCTCCCTGAGTCCCAACCCTTTGCCAGGTCTTTTCCACTCGCCAAACATTGTTAAAACCCTGAACTTACTGGGGTGTGGGGCTGGAGAGATGGAATCCGAAGCCCTCTTCTGACCTCTGTGGCATTGCATGACACGGGTGCACTCACATGCAGCAACACACTCGTGTGCATAGAATAAAAACAAAAATATTTTTAAAAAATTTTTCTAAAAAAATAATAGAGGGCTGGAGAGATGGCTCAGTGGTTAAGAGCACTGACTGCTCTTGCAGAGGACCCGGGTTTGAGTCCCAGCACCCACATGGCAGCTACAAACTCCTTAACTCCAGTTCCAGGGGAATCCAAAGCCCTCTTCTGAACTCCAAGGTATTGCACGACACGGGTGCACTCACATACATGCAGCCAATACACTCATAAAATAAAAATAAATTTTTTTTTTGGTCTTTTTGAGACAGGGTCTCCCCGTAGCCCCAGCTGTCTTGGAACTCACTATGTAGACCAGGCTGGCCTTGAACTCACAGGATCCACCTGCCTCTGCCTCCTGAGTTCTGGGATTAAAGGCATGCGCCACCCGCCTGGCTAAAAATAAAAATTTTAAAAAACACCTTAACTGCCTTATGAAGAGACCATCCCTGTTTCACAGTCAAACCTAGGCTCAGAGCAGTTGAGAACCTTGTTCAGGTTTGCAGAGCCAGCATATATGTGATGAAACTGACTTCCTTTTTTCTGCCTCTTGGCCCCAATTTGATTGGCTTCCCACTGCCCAGCTGATGTCCACCCTTATCACAGGTTTATTTAGCCTGATAGTGACCTGGGGCTGTGCCAGTAGAGCTGCAGAACCTGGGCTGGTGGTCTCTATCTTGAGGGCTGCCATCCTACTCTAAGACTGAAAAAGTGTGGTTTCCAGTGAAGCAAAAGAATGGTCAGGCCTGGGGCAGTGGTCAGAGCCAGGTTCTCCAGTGCTCTCCTAGGAGCTAGGAGGGGCCTGGGGCAACTACCAGGACTCAGCTGCAATCGCTTCTCCTGACTAGCTGGTGGCCAGAGGTCTGGGAGGCTTGGGGCACTAGGAGGTGCTCGAGGGACCAGTTTGAAACTGAATACGTGCTAGTGACAGGAGCCGGGAAGGGCCCAGCTGGGCCACAAGGCCAGTGCTGATGGAGGGAGGTAGGAGGCCAAGGCCACGGGGCAGCAAACAGTTCAGATGCCAAGCTGCTCCTGAGGTCTGTGCAGGCGCTAGGTCCACCCCAACCGGGGCTCCAGGCCGGGTAGGGTCTGCCCTCACCCCGCCCCCCTCTGGAGAGAGCGGAATCGAGGCCCCTGGTGGGCCCTGGCCTTATAGAAAGTTCCCCGGAAGGCCCAGAGATCATGATAGGGGGGTAGTACCAGAATTTAACCGTTGGTGAAGAGGCAGCAAGCGCTTCGTGGTTCCCGGTTCTGGGTTCCCCACCCGTAGGCTGGGAGTGGAGAGCTAGGCGTTGCAGCCTTCCCCTTGGTGTGGGGCCCACCAACGCCCCACCCTCCGCCGGGACTCTTGGCCTCCAACCCCGACCTGGTGGAGTAGTGAGGTCCATCCTGGGATGCCCCCTGAGTTCAGTCTGAGCCTGTTTTCTCTTGGTTGGCCCCGGAGATGGGAAAATATTCCTTATGCGGAAGCATTGGCTTCCACAGGACACTTGGGGAAGGAATAGAACCGGACTTGTGCCCCGCAAGACTCCACCAGTTTCCCGCTCTTTCCGTGGGCGCCCAGACGGCAGATTGAAGTTTTCCTTTATTTAATGCAACGTTCATTTGCACGTGAATCTTCAGTGAAGTCCAGAGCGCGGTGTGTACGCGTGCCTGTCTGTGTACCGGGGCCATGCAGCCCCCAGCCGGGCCACTCTTCCCATTCCATCCCACTCCTCCATTCTCCGTCCTCTCTTGCAGCCTAGCCTCCCAGCCAATCAGTCTTCAGGCCGGGTCCAAGTTCCAACTTGCCCAAGAGCGCTGGGAGCAGTCTCGGAGGAATGAGAATCAGGTGACCCAGAGGGTGGGAGCGGAGGAGTGCTCCTCCCCAGCCCCAGAGGCAGGTTGTGCACCGTCCTGCAGCCAATCGGGACGGCCTGGGGACCGCGGGCGTCGGTGCGGGAAGTGGAGGTGGTCTTATGGGACCCCCATTTGGGGAGGTAGTGCCAGGGTGGATGAGGAGGTGATTGCAAGTGCTGTTCTCCCTAAACCTAGGGAGGCTCAGGGCACAGCCAGACGTGCGGGAACTCACAGCCTCCTCAGTTGTTGGAGGGACCTCTTTTCCTGAGTCACCTCTTCTGGGTTCGAAACTGCTGGAAGAGCCACTGGACAATGAAGGGCCACAGGAGAAAGAAGAGCACCGTGGGAGCTGAGAGCCTGAGGGGCCAAGGCCGGGTCCTGGGTGGCCTCTGCTGCCAAGAAGGAATGGAGTCAGGGGCCAGCTCAGGCTCAGCACAGCCCTCCTAGTTGCCTGCATCCAGAACTCACTGGGCCTGGCCTCCCTGAGGCTAGCTACACTAGTCGGAAGTGCATCCCTGACTCCCTCCACGATCCAGTCCCAGGTGACAGGAGAGGCTGTAGCAAGGCAGCCAAGCTAGCGCTTCTGGGCCACAAAGCTAGGACGGTGAAAGAACTGAAGACCCAGTACTGTAAAGCATATGCTGTATTTCAGTGAAGGACCCTGGGTACTCAGATGTTAGCTTCTAAATATTCTCCTTTAGGAGTCAGGACTCCTGGGAGAAGTAGCTGATTCCAAGGTTGAAGCAGGGAAGGTGAGGGCAATGCCGGACATCTACCAGAAATCCAGGGAGCCCCTAAAAGTGAATAAGGTATGGTTCTAAGAAGAAGCTTGAAAGGGTCTCCACTGGCCAAGGTTGTAACAATCGAATCATTAAAAAGAAAGATGGAGGGTGGAGAAATGGCTCATCAGTTAAGAGCACTGGCTGTTCTTGAAGAAGACCTGACCTCAAATCCCAGCCTGCACATGGTGGCTAACAACCATCTGTAACTCCAGTTCCACGGGATCCAACACCCTCTTCTGCTCTCCACAGGGCACAACACAGGTGCATTTACACACGTGCAGGCAATACACTCATACACATAATTTAAAATAATAAATAACTATCAAATAATAAAATTTTTTTTGGTCTTTTTGAGACAGGATCTCCTTGTAACTCTAGCTGTCCTGGAACTCACTGCGTAGATCAGGCTGGCCTTGAAGTCACAGAGATCCACCTGCCTCTGCCTCCCAAGTGCTAGAATTAAAGGTGTGTGTGTGCCACTATGCCCAGCAAAATTTTTTTTTTTTTTTTTAAATTGAAGGGACTGGAGAGATGGCTCAGTGGTTAAGAACACAGGCTGTTCTTGCAGAAGACCCAGGTTCAAATCCCAGCACCCACATGGCAGCTAACAACTGTTCATAACTCCAGTTCTAGGGTATCTGACAGCCTCTTCTATCCTCCATGGGCACTGCATGACACGGGTGCACTTACATGCAGGCAATACACCCATACACATAAAATAAAAATAATAAATAAAATATTTTTTAAAGCCGGGCATAGTGGCGCACATCTTTAATCCCAGCACTTGGGAGGCAGAGGCAGGCGGATCTCTGTGAGTTCAAGGCCAGCCTGGGCTTTTTTTTTTTTTAAAGATTGAAGCCAGGCATGGTGGCACACCTGTAATTCCAGCAGAGGCAGGCAGATCTTTGAGCTTAAGGCCAGCCTGGTCTACATAGTAAGTTCCTCGCCAGCTAGTTGAAACCTGTCTAAAAAAATAATCATAGTGTTTTTTTTTTTTTTTTTTTTACTAAAAAAAAAAAAAAAAAAAAAAAAAACATAGAAGAATGATTACAGATTGAAATACTGAATCTTTAAAATTCAGGAATCTAAAATGGAAACTAGAAATTGTACTAGCGAGGAATCTTCAAGTCAACTCTGTACTTTAAAAATAATTAAGGGTTAGGGATGCAGCTCTGTGGTGGAGCAGTTCCTAGCATGTGTGAAGCCTTGGGTTCCATCCCCAGCACTGCAAATAGAAGCAAAAAATAAAAAGAAGCTGGGCATGGTGGCCCTTGGTAATCCCAGCATGCAGGAGGCTGAGGTGGGAGGATTAGCCACTGCTTTTCGGAGGAACCCCACAGGAAAATGTCAGGTAACACAGAAGAATAATGGAATTCAAAAATCAACAGATTTGGCCAGGCGTGGTGGCACATGCCTGTAGTCCCAGCACTTGGGAGGCAGAGGCAGGCGGATCTCTATGAGTTCAAGGTCATCTGGTCCACATAGTGAGTTCCATGCCAGCTGGAGCTACAGGGAGACCCTGTTTCAAAAAGACCAAAACAAACAAACAAAAAAATCAACAGATTTTTGCAATACTAAATAAATTACTGTCTAGGCAAAGATCATCATCAAATACTGTATGGCAAATAGAATTGATTAATTCTCTGGCAGAGCTGCATCCACGCCAGCAGTACCTGCTAGGGTCACTAGTGGTGAGCCAGAGGCCATGTGTCACTGGAGTGTCCCTTGATGTGATGGACATCATTCTGATGTGATTCTTGTTTTTATCTTATGGAGACAGGGTCTCACTTTGTAGCCCAGGGTGGCCTGGAACTCACAGCAATCCTCCTATTTCAGTCTCCCAAGTGCTAAGATTACAAGTGTGAAGCACCACACTTGGCCCTCTCATGTGAGCTTGTCTGGAATAGTTAACTGGATACTAACCCAGTCTTTACATCTATTCAGTTCACAGGGAATACTACATAAAAGGAGTCGCATATGATCAGACCCAAAAGGTGGAACAGTCTACAGGATCCTGGCCCAGGACTGGTCTAGATTAAAAGACACAGGCTGGGAACCAGACCGTAGCTCAGTTAGACAGCTCAAAGCCCTGGGGTTAACCCTCCAGAATAGCCAGCAACAGCAGTAATAATGGTAATATCAGAAAAGATGTAAAGGATGGAGGTACTAAAAACATAGTGTGGGCCTGGCCTGGCCAACAGCATTTGGAAAAGGCAGTTTCAAGACAGCTGAGAAAATCTGAACTTGGATCGGGTATTTAATTATTGCGTGTAACAAAATGTATTCGGCTGGGCATGGTTGCACACACCTATAGTCCCAGGACTTGGGAGGCAGAGGCAGGTAGATCTCTGTGAGTTCAAGGCCAGCCTGGTCTACACAGTGAGTTCCAGGCCAGCTGGGGCTACAGGGAGATCCTGTTTCAAAAAGACCAAAAAAAAAAAAGTATTCAGAGTGGAACATTATGATGTTTACAATCTATTTTTGTGTATGTGTGTATGTGTGTATGTGTGTGTGTGTGTGTGTGTGTGTGTGTGTGTGTGTGTGAGAGAGAGAGATAGGATCTGGTTGTGTAGCCCAGGATAGCCTTGGACTTTCAAGGATCCTCCTGCTCTTGCCTCAAGAGTGCTGGGATTGTAGGTGTGCTATAATATACTTAAGAATCCTCAGGATGGGGGCTGAAGAGATGGCTCAGTGGTTAAGAGCTCTTCCAGCTGACCCAGATTCAGTTCCTAGCACCCACAGTGGTCAGCTCACAATTGCCTGTAACTCCAGCTCCCGGGGATCTGACACCCTTTTCTGGCCTCTGTGGGCACCTGTGCACCCCCCTCCCCAACTAAATAAGTCAATGTAATTTAAAAACTCAGCATTTCAGTTAGGCCTGATGTTACCCGCCAAGATTTCAGTTACTTAGAAACTGCTGGGGGGTTTTTGTTTTGTTTTTCCTTTACATGGTGCTAGGGATGGAATTCAGGGCCTGGTGCCTCCTAGGCAAATGCCCTGCTACTAAGCTATATCCCCAGCCCAATCCCAGCCACTCGAGGCTAAAACAAAAGGATTATAAATTAGAGTGGGCTTAATAAGACTTTGACTCAAAATAAAATGTTTTATTTGGGGGCGTTCTTTTTATGAGACAGGGTCTCCTTGTAGCCCCAGCTGGCCTGGAACTCACTATGTAGACCAGGCTGGCCTTGAACTCACAGAGATCTGTCTGCTTCTGCCTCCCCAGTGCTGGAATTAAGGGCATGTATCACTATGCCCAGTAAAATAAGGCTTTTAAAAGGGTTGGCAATGTGGCTGAGTGTAGAGCACTTGCTTAACATGTGTGATATACTAGGTTCAATTTCCAGCTCCAGAGGAAAAAATATCCTCAGCTTTTCAAGTTGGTAAAAGGTGAAATAGGAGAAAAAAAAAGGAATGCTCTGGAGATAGAGGGAGGAGTGTTGAAATCTTTGTGAGCAAGGCTCATACCCACTATGCTCAGTGGGTTAGGGATCATACTAGAGACTCACAAATAGAGCAACTCAGCCCACTCCTGATTCAGCCGCCCCAGGCATCTCAATAGGGTGGGTACCAGCACAGTGGGGAGGCAGATTTGGGGTCACTTGATGCTACTGATCACAACAATAACAACAGAGCCTATTGGAGGAGGCCTTGCTGCGCCACTGGGTACCTCAAAAGCAGGTCTGTGAGGGTCTCTAGGCTGTGTGCCCTCAGGCGAGCTAACTTTTTAGACCTTAGTTTCCTCCTGGGCAAAAGGAAAATAGAGCCAGGTGTGGTGATGCACACCTGTAATCCCAGCACTTGAGAGGCTTGAGGCTAGAAGATTGTAAATTCTAGACTAGCTTGGGCTACAAAGTAAGACTATGCTACAAACAAATCCCATATGTCACAGGGTCACTGAGGATTCAGTGAGACTATATCAGCAAGGCAAAGGACTGGTCTAAATTAAAAGACACTTAGACTACCAGGCAAAGTGGCTCACACCTGCAATCCCAGCACTCAAAACTGAAATAGGCAGATTACCATGAGACTAACCTAGTCTACACAGTAAGCCCCCACCAGCCTGGGCTACAGGGTAAGACCTTGTTACAAACAAAACAAAACTAGACAAAGTAAATCCTAAACCTGGAAGTGCTGAGTGAGGGCCAACAGAAACCCAAGCCCCAGTACTAAGAGTAGATAGATACTTTGTGGTCCTCCGAACTCTTGAGATTGACCTAGTTAGTTGGCTTTTCCTGGGCAGAGGTGTGTACGCAGGGAAGGGTTCTCCTTTCCTGGCATGTCCTCCCCACTCTCCCTCCAGGGTGAAAACACTTCAGAGCTCCCACCTATTGGCCCCCTGGCTACAACAGAAGCACCCCATTCTCTGCACAAAGCATTGAGCAGGTGGAGGCCTGGGGCCAAAGACAAAAACAATTAGATGAAGAACCCAGAGTAGAGAAACCCTTAGAGTTCTGTGGAAATTTTGCCAACCTTGAAGCGAAGGAGAGACTCACCTGCTCATGTAGCTGGGGCTTGCTCTCCAGGCTTCTTAGTCTCCTCTGGACATCCCGCATGCTTTCCTGCATGGCCTGAACCGTCCCCACCAGCCACCTGTCCAACTCCTGGGGTCCCATCAGGCTGTCCTCTAACCCATCTGTGGAGCACAGGGACACAGGGAAGAGAACTTGGGTGGCAATTCTCACCAGCTGGGGCATGTACAGGGAAGTGTAGGGGTAATGCCTGACTCCTGGTCTCAAGTGGGGCTCTTGCAAAGTCCATTCAGACTGAGAGGGTGGGTGTTCAATCCCAGTACTGCCACAGATTGGCTTTATGACTCTGGGCAAATCTTCAACTTTTCAGAGCCTTGTTTGGTCACCTGAAAATTAGGGGAAAATATCTTCCTCACAGTACTGTCTGCCCAGAGGAATAAGAGGCTGTTTATGAAAATGTCCCTTTGGGGACTTGGCACACAGGAAGTTCTGGAGAATCTGAGGATTCCAAATGGGAGGCAGAGAAAGGGGGCAACGTTCCATAGCCATGCAGCTGTGTCTTGGAGCTGCCCTTACAGAACACCCCAGAAGGTGCAGACTCCAGCAGCCTCAGGAGAAGAGCCAGGACAGGGACTTTGCCCACCCAGGCAGATGTTTTGCTGCTGGGTAGCCAGCCCTTCTGGGCAGAGGCTACTCTCTAGTGTCCAGCCTGGACTTTCACCTTTGTCCTAAGAGGGCAGCCAAGAGAAGGCTTGGGGTGTGAGGGCCATGGACAGGGTAAAAGGCATGAGAGGTCAGAGCAGCTCACCTTTCTCACTGGGGGACTCAGGGCTGCTTCTGGTGTCCTGCTGTCTGCCAACTGCTCCCCTCTGCTCTGCCCAAACCTGCTGAGATGAGTCCCGGGTCCCAGGGTAGAGGTGGGGCAACTCCGGCACAGGGGGAACAAGGGACAAGAGGGATGGTTTCACCAACTCTGGCTCCAGCTGCTCCAGGGAATCACAGAAAACCTCCAGGTCCAAGTCTCTGGGTGGCTGGGACTCTAGGGAGGAAACAGGAAGGGCTATCACCAAGGGCAGTTGTACTGGGGCTGGGTTCCTTTGCTGGAGAGTGTAGAGGGGAGGGTGGGCAGCTAGAGAGCAGCCCTTCTTCAGGAGACTTAGAGCTCTTGCCATGGAAGGCACAATGAGGACTATAATAGGAGTGCCAGAGCCTGCCCTTGGCCTCCAAGAGCACAGGTGGTCTCAGTGTTCCCAGGCATGACATATGAAGGGGACAGTGTGGCTTCTAGCTTTTTTTTTTTTCCTGGAGTTGCCTCTACCAGCCTGGGTTTGGCCCTATATCTCTCCCACTCAATCACTAACCCGGCCTTTCAGGTATTGGCTCCTTGGGGTGGCTAGGAGGAGGCTCTGGAACAGTCTCGTCATCTCTATTTGGTACTGGCTCTGTCCAACCTGTCAAGACACAACACCCAGAGGTGGGGCAAGGAAGAGACTGGCACCTTCCAGTACAATCAAGTCCCTTGTCCCCATTAGCCATGCATACTAGCTGACAGCCCATCAGGGGGACCTACAAGGACCACACCTAGAGCTCTCAGCTCCTAGCACCCCATGACTGAACAGTCCCCCCGCCCCCAGCCTAGCTCTGAGACAGTTCACTCTACACTCAGGGTCCCATCCTGGGGATCTGACCTGTGACTCTTCTCAGGAAGGTTTCTGGGGGCCTTGGCATATCAGGGATCACCTTGTACAAGGGCTCGAAATAACCGAACATATCCTCTGCCACCTCACCCAAGGGCACTGTGTCGATCACCTGTACAGGAAGGGTTCTAATGGGGGCAGGGTTGGCCCCTCCCACTACAACCCCTCGTTCCCCTAGGGTTAGGCTCCTCCCCATTGCCTTTTCATATACCTATACTTGGCACCAGTTGGAGACAGGCAGAATTGGGGGGGGCAAGAGGAAGGTGGTGATTCCCAAAGGGATATTAGTGGGTAGGAAACATGGAGTGCACACCTGAAAGAGTGAGGGACAGGGCACCCTTCCGGACATCCCTCTCTACCTTCTGTGCCACTAGCTTCATCTCAGTGATGTAGGCGGACATGGCCTCCTCTCTGCTCATCTTGCCCAGGCTGTTCCAGGCATCCCTAGGAGGCAGAGGCCTGTGAGAAGGCTGGGTGACAGTGGAGGCAAGTTTGCCCTGTGGGTGGGGCGCTTACCACTTGTATCGTCCAATAGGGTCCCAGAACCCAGGCCGGGGAACCATGCAGGGCCCCATGGTAGCCTGCTTGTAGTAGCTGTAGAATCTCAGCATCTCTTCATAGGAGGGGCGGTAAGAGCCTGAGCACAGGGTTGGAAAGTGGAGGGCACCTCATCAGTCTCAGTTCCAAGAGGTTGGAGAACATCTTAGGAGGGCGGACATGACGATGAATTCCACCCCATGGCATCTAGGACATGAGACATTGGGGACACCCACCATAGTCCAAGCAGGAACTTATCTGTAAGTACTGCAGGGATAAGGCCCAGTTCCATCTCGGGGTCAGAACCCAGCCATCCTAACCCCCAAACGCCGATCCCTGCAGCCTCACCGTTCTTAGGCAGGTTCTGAATGACGCTGACGGCTGCCTGGAACTGTTTCTGGCAGTCAGGCTCTTCCTTCTCGGTGCCCATGCTGCTCCAAGCCCTAGGACCCTACTTTGGAGAGACTCTGCAAGAGCGAGTGTCAGTGTGATCAGGCCTCACGGTCCACGGTGGCACTCTAAGTCACTGGTCCACTTCCCAGAGGGGCAAACTAAGCCCTGAAACCTAAGCGCCACGGAGGAGACTAGAAGTTGCAGCTGAGGGGAGGCTCCTCCTACCTCAAGGCAGCGTAAGCGGGGTCAGGGAGGCCAGGCCCACCAGCGTGGCTGTGGGTGGGCAGAGAGGCAGGTGGTGGCAAGGGTCTCAGCGCCAGACACGTCCCCAGATGCTTTAGGTGCCTATTTCCAATTCCTGAGCAGGCGAATCGGCGAGCCAGGAGTCAGGGCGGGGCCAACTGCCTCCCATCCAGGACCCCGCGCCCCGGCCCGGCACTCACCCCGCGGCGCCCACTATGGAGACACTGGGTCCACTTAGCTAGTGGCTTCCGACTGACCTCCGGGTCCAGTGTGACTGGGATGCGGGGGGCCAGCAAACCGAGGGAGAAAATTAAGCCAATGAGAGGCACCGTTTCACATTGGGTTTCTATGCTCTAACCACTTAGAACGGCCCTTTCAAGAGTATGCAAATATTTCACGTTGCCTCTCCCAATCAGGCGGGGCTAATTTACGGGTCGCTCTTCCCAGCCCCAGGCAGCCGGAGTGGGCTGCAGCGCCTCCGCGTGGACATAGTGAGTGGTCACCGAGTCCTTGCGCCCCCTGGTGGAAGCGCATAAGAATTGGTCGACAGTTACTGACCCCCCCCCCCCCAAGGCACCCCCAACTCAGCTCTACCGACACTTCAGCGCTGGCATTAGACAGTAGAATCACATCCAGGAGCCGGGCGTTCCACGAGAGGGACATTGGAGTTTTGGAAAATGTAGGGGTAAGCCAGAAAATAACGAAGAAGAACCAGAAAAATAACGAACAGGGGCTGGAGAGACGGCTCAGCGGTTTAGTGTGCTTGCTGCGTTGCAGAGCACCCGAGTTCAGTTCCCAGTACCAACGTTGGGTGGCCTGTAACTGCAGCTCCAGCGGATCTGACGCCCTCTTCAAACTTCCACAAGCACTGCACCCACATGCATAAATTTAAACTCACACATAGACACATGCATATAT